CCCCCACCCAGAACCCACATAAAGCTTGGTATAGTAGTCCATACCTGCAATCCCAGCATTTGTGTGGTGAGATGGGAGGCAGAAATGGGAAAATTCCAGAAACTCTAGGTACAGGAAGCCTGGCATGCACAGCAGCAAACTACACTCAGTATCACACAAGGTGGACAATGAGGACTGACACCCAAGGTTGTTCTCTGACCGTCATACATGTGCCATGGCACATGTATACTGATGCACACACACATACACACATGCATTTTTAATGAAATAAAAAATTAAACAGTATTTGTAGATTATCTGGCTCCATCATAGCAACTACAGCAAAAATGAAAATCAGTGTTTCTCGGTAGAGTACAGTTATATGTATTTACAATGAGGATGCAGATAGGCAATTAAAGAAATGCCCACAATGCATTTATAGTCTGATGCGTGGGTCTTGCTAATACACAGCTCATTTCAGAGTCTTCACATCGTCTCACACAGCAGGCGCCGTCTAAGCTATGGAAACTCATTTCTCTTTTCATGGGCCCATTGATCATCACAGTGGGATTAGACAAGTGACAGCTCCATTAATTAACAGCTAGGAAAGATTAGATAGTTCTGTGTGCCTGGCACAGTGTTAAAGGCAGATGATGGGATACAGAGTTTCTGGGTGCTACATTAAATTGGTAGTGGTGACATTTAAGCTGAATTTTAAAAGGTAGCTGAAACAGTTACATGAAGATGGGAGAGATGGCGTTCCAGGTGGACCAGTACAATGGAATAACCTCCTACAGGCCAGCTCTGAGACTGATAGCTTGAGGCAAAGAAAGAAGGCAAGGACCACATCACAGGATGACTAAGCAATTTGATACTGGGGGATTTGGTGGTGGTTGTTTTGAGACAGAGACTCATTCCCTTGCCACAGGCTAACCTAAAACCTGTGGCCATTCGCCTGGGAATCTCCCTGAGCCAGCAGCATCAGTCTGGATCTCTTCTAAGTGCTATGGCTTCTGGGTTGGTTTTAGTGATGCTGGGGACCTAACTTGGGATTTTGCGCATGCTAGACAAATACTTTAAGCTAACTGCAGGGAGAAGGCATTGGGAGCTTTAAGCAAGGAAGCCAGCATGCTTTGATTTTCTTTGTAAGCATTTCTCACAGCTAGGGTACAATGGAAGAAAGAGGGGAAAATAGAATATCATAGAAGAAACAGCAAGCCATCAACCAAAGGTTGTGTCATGGGCTCCAGGGGCAGCAGCATGGTTGAGGAGAGGTGGATGGACCCGTGTTATTTTTAGCAGTGCACACAACAAAATCTGACAGTAGATTAAATGAGGGGAACAGAAAATGAGAAACTAAAAATAAGGCTTGCCAACTTCGGTTTGCAGCAGAGTGCAGGGCAGTATTGCTGACCGAGATAAGAGAGGAAGACACTTGGAATGAGAAAGTTCAGAAAATGTATCAAGCTGTTTGAGGCGAGATACACTTGACTCTAACATCCATACGATAATTCCACCAAACACTACATCTTAAGTCTAGACCTCAGTGGTATGGCAAGCCCAGAGATGGGATTTTGAACATGTCTTTCATAGAAAGAGGCATTGGATGAGAACATAGAAAAGGAGGAAGGGTATTGAGACAGTACAAGGCTATTCCAAAAGTTGGCATCCAATGGAAGAGGAGGCATGGACAGGGTTACTGAGGAAGAAGGCCAGGGAATTTGGAGGACACTAGCAGGAGACTGAAGTGCTTTGGGGGGTGAGGGAAATTGTAACAAAGAAGAGGTAGGTGACTGGGTTCTGTCAAGTACACGAAGAATAGTGTGACGTCCCTGCAACTGACTGAGCATAGGAACCTATGGACTTGAAAATTGCTAGTTCAAGCAGTTGGGCTGTTGCTCTTTCCCTGTTTGGTTGTTTATTTATTTGTTTATTTTTTGCTGTTTCCATTCTTAGCCCATCTAATCCCCACTCCTTGGAACTGGCTCTTGGAAATGGACACCCTACTTTTCTCATGAGGTGATCTGTCTCTGCTGTGATTTTTATTCCATCTGGAAACACACAGAAGGATCATGAAGATACTCAAAACTGACTAGATAAGACACTGTTGTGCCCTAAAACACCGACAGGAATAACATATAGAACACCTTCTTGACAAAATCCCACATGAAGATATGAACTCAAGAAGAGGCCCTTTGACATTTATAGTGGCTAGTGAAAAAATTCACTGTGGCAAAAATACAATTCTGGAAATCACCATACATAAAATCTCATTGGTGATTCAAATTCAAATGTTTCTGAAAGTGTCTTTATTTTACCTATTTACATTTTTATTTTACTATGCTGGGTTTCCTGAACCCATCTTCATGCAAGTGTAATGTATAAGAAACCTGCTCTCCTCATGTCCCACTGTGTTCTTGTGAGTCTCCTTCTCCAATGTTCCTGCTTTTGCATTCATGGTACCTGGACATACAGGAGTATGTCTCATATGAAATCTAGGGCTCAAAATGTAAGAAAACATGCAAGGTTTATCCTTCTGAGCCTGGATTAAGTCATTTATATGAAGGTCTCCAGTTGTATCTATTATCCTGCAAATGACAGCATATCATTCTTTATTTTGTACTTATATGTTAATTTTCTATGTGTACGTTTGTGTGTGTGTGTGTGTGTGTGTGAGTGAGTGTGTGTGTGTGTGCATGCACATGTGCTATAGTATATATGTGGCAGTCAGAGAAGAGCTTATGGGAGTCAATTCTGTCCTTCTATGTGGGTTCCAGGGATTCCACTCAGGTCACCAGGCTTGGTGACAATCGCCTTTACCTGCTGAGCCATGAGACTGGCTGAAATTCATAATTCTTGATGTCTGAAAATACAGTATATATAAAAATCATATTTTCATTCTTGTGTTAATAGACCTTAAAAAAAAGAACTGAGCCTGCTCCTGTGGGGAACAATGATAAAACAAAAATACAGTAAATTAGAAATGATTCGATTGTACGAGGTAGAAATTCAATTAAAAAATTAAGCTCCTTAATGACATTTACCCACGAAAAACACGCCTTGATGAAGAATCTGCAGTGTTTATTTAAATATGATCAACAATTGTAATCCCAACATTGATGGCAGCCAAGTGGTAGGGAGCAAAACCTGGGGACCTATTTCCTGTCCAAGTGCATTGAGTGCCCTGTGCTAGATTCCCTAGAGGGTCCACAACAGAGGAGCCTGGGGAGGCAGGCTTCCCTGCCTCCCTGCCTTCCTTGTCTTGAATTGCTAATAGCTTCCTGTATGGCAGCCTTTGCTGCCTGCTAAGGCAAAGTGTAGGGAGGAAACACTTATCCCGGCAACACTTTCAGTAGAAATTTGAGTCCCTGGTCTGAGCAAAGAATTTCTAAATCAGCCTCATTAGTGTCAGAAGCAAGGTCTTTCTTACTGGAAACCGTTCTCTCTGCACAGTTTTGTTTGTTGTCTGTGTTTATTGCATTTGGTCGAAATTGCTGGCAAGCCACAAAAGTGAATGGATAAATTGTATTTGGTATCACTTGAGATTAATACTAGTTAATGCTCAGCTTCTACGTTGATCTCTATACTTAGTAACAGGCACTGATGGCATCTAGTTGAATGACCTTTCTCAGCTTCCTTGTCTCTCTGATATTGCTTCTGTGATCCTAAGAGGGATCAATGAGATGCCCTCCACGGGACCATCAGGAGGACTATGAGAAACACCTCCAGTGCCCCATGCATACGCTTGGGATCCTGTCATCTCTCCTACTTCTGCTGAATTTCCTGTATCAGCATTTGACCACACACATTATACATTGTGGAGTTACTTGAGCTGTTTGGTCTGGAAGCCTTGTAGATGGAGCTTCTGTCCCACCCAGTCCCACAGCCATTCAGTCCCAAAGAAACGCATAGAAGCTTATAACGTTTATAGACTGTTTGGTCTATTAGCTCAGGATTATTATTAACTAGCTCTTCCAACTTAAATTAACCCGTAATTCTTGTCTATGTTAGCCATGTGACTTGATACCTTTTATCAGTGAGGCATTCTCATCTTGTTTCCTCTGTATCTGGCTGGTGACTGACTCTGCCTTTCCTCTTCCCAGAATTCTCCTAGTCTGGTTGTCCCACCTCTACTTCGTGCCTGGCTACTGATCAATCAGCATTTCATTAAGCCATTATGAGTGACAAGTCTTTACAGTGTACAGGAGCATTTCCCACAGGGAGAACTGTTTAAGGTGAGGGCCAGGCTTCCTCCTTCATCACACTCCTTCCCTCTTCTAGATCAGCAGGGGAGAAAGGAAAGCTCCCAGGGAGAGAGTGGTCCCTGGGGTTTAAAATAGAAGGGTACCTGTGACCCCTTACTTAAAGAGACAAGGAACAGGTAGCAAGTGGGATACTGAAGAGGGGAAGATGTGACACAAGGACTGAGGGTGTGGGCAGGTGAGTGTCAGACAGCCAAGTCTGGGCCAAGGGGAAGCAGCTCCAGTCTTCCCATCTCTGACCATGTGGTGCTTCTACATAAGGGCAATGGGCAGGGATATTGGTTGAGAAAAGGCCACAGCTCTGAACACTGGGGTGGGGGGAGTGAGAAAACAGACCAAGAGTAGGCAGCTTCAGAAGCCTGTAAGTAAATTTAGTTCTTAGATATGTAATTGGTGCAGATAAATACCTGCAGAAGAACAGACAACAGATCCAATCCTTCTACGAAGGGCATTCATCTTTAACTAGGACCTGAGAAATTCCACCTGGTACCATTGTAGTATCAACGTACATTTTAGAAACAAACCAATCTCAGTTTGAATTGTGCTTGCTCTCTGGCTGTGTGGCGAGACAATTGCTGAGCCACCCAGTCTCCATTTCATCTCTAAGAAAGAACACCAATAGGTTGCTTTTGTTAAATAAATAAGATGTTCCGTATAAAATGCCTGCTACCAAAGGAAATACCTAAGAAACGTTAGTAGGCTTGTTCTCTACATGAGTGGTTTTCAACAAGGGTATATTTTGATGCCCCTCCTTCATACCTTCTACGTTCACATGTGCACAGATGCGGTACATGTATGTGCACATGTCTATGGAGGCTGGAGAAAAATCTCAACTGTCATCCTCAGGAACATCATCTATCTTTTTTGAAACGGATACTCTTATTAGCCTGGAACTCATCAGTGAGGTCAGGCTGGCAACAAGCAAGCCTTCAGAATCCTCCTGTTTCTATCCCCCAGTACTGGGGTTGCAAGATTGTGACATCAGGCTTGGTATTATTACATGCATTCTGGAGATCAAACACAGGTCCTTGTCCTTACATGGCAAGTGTTCTATGGGTTGAGCTGTCAGTGTTGCTTCTTGATACTGATTCTTAACCCTGAGATTGCTAGACTTTGCTCACACCCAGTCAATGAGAGGTTTTTGTCTATTCCTCCCTCACTCTAAGAGGCATATTTCTATCTAATCTATCTATCTATCTATCTATCTATCTATCTATCTATCTATCTATCTAT